TTTTTTTCGTTTGTGTATTATCATTTGTCATCTGTGAGATACATGTCTTGTTTTAGGATCATCCTTTCATTCTGATTTTTTATTATTTTTTTTTTTGCGTCTTATCCCATCTCCCTTTTAGCCTTTTATTTGATCTATTCCCTTTCTCATATGCTCCACCCCCTTATCTCTTTTGTCTCCTCCTCCTCCTCGTTTTTCGTCCCCCCCTACCCCCCCTCTCCCTTTTGTCCCCGCCGCCACTTATCTGTTCCATCCATCTCCCTTTTTGTCTTATCCCCCTCCTCTCATTTGTTCCGTTCCCCTCTTCTCCACCTTGTCCTTACTCCTTTTCACATCATTTCTACACTTTTCTTAGCAGCTTTATCCTGGCCAGGCTATTTCTTTTAATGTCTTCCCTCCTCTCCTCTTCTCGCCTCCTCCCGTTCTTCTCTTCAGCACACGCGTCGCTCGTCATTCAGCGGCGAGGTTATGGCACAGATCGCCACCTACACGAGGTCAAAGGTCATGGACCAAATCGACACTAACAAGTTCTTCTGGAAGGTCACTGACTGCATCGCCAGCACTGGCCCAGGTCAAAGGTCATCCGCTGCGCTGATAACGCAAATGGTCATCGAGAAATGCACACACGTGTATTGACGCTGACCTTGCCATTGGACGAAATATAAGTAGCCAATACTAAAACCAGAAAAAAAATGTTCACGCAAAAAAATAATTCTAGAATATCACGTTCATTCCGTAGGAGCCGGGGATGGGGGGGTGAGTGGAGGGAGGGGGGGGTAGCATCTGCCGGGATAGCGACATAACAGTAAAACGTCGAATTAATGGCTTGGTACGAAAACTTCCCAGCAATATCATCACTTGTTTACAGTTCCTACATTTTTGATATGCTATTTAGTGCATCCTAAAATTTCAGACGTTATGTGTGCGTGTGTGTGCACGGCATGCAGGGAGACGGGCAAGACGTTTTTGCTCGCGGGGCAATGCTGCGCGTACAGCTAAGAATGTTACTGTGTGACAGCTCTAGGAAGTAAAAACACAGACCGGGTACGTGTGATTACAGCTTTGCAATATCGCAAACTGCATTTTACTCACACGCTTTAACAAAACAAACAGTGGAGTTATGAAATAGCCTAAATATTCGTTTGGGGGCAGACCAATCGAAAAACCTTCCGCGTCACAATATTGAAATCACCTTCGAATACACACAAACAAATGCGACTGGAATTGAATAATTCTTGAATGACCAATTGGGTCTTTCTCCCCCGAATCCATTCCGCGCCTTTCGCACAGGTGGCCGCCATATGAATATCGTAATCAGAGATTCAGCCTCGGCAACCGGGACACGACGCGCACCTCAGAACACCTGCCGCAGGTAGCCGGGTCCCGCCAGTGTGCACGCCGCAAGCGCCTCGCTCTCTTCCCGTTCGGCCGAACAATGCACCGGTTGACACTTCCTCCCTGAACGACTGAACAAGTTCTTATTGACACTTCTTTCCTGCAAGGCTGAATAAAGCTCTGGCTGATACTTCTCCATACAGCTGAACAAAGCTCTAGTCGCAACGGTTGAACACTTGGACATTCTGTGATTGACACTTCCTCCCTATACGGCTGAGCAACCGTTAGTTTCTCCTCGAACGGTTGAACAAAGCTCCGGTTGACACTTCCTCCCCGAACAGCTGAACAAAGCTTCGTTTGACACTTCTTCCCCAACGGCTGAACAAAACTCCGGTTGACACTTCCTCCCCGAACGGCTGAACAAAGCTCCGGTTGACACTTCCTCCCCGAACGGCTGAACAAAGCTCCGGTTGACACTTCCTCCCCGAACGGCTGAACAAAGCTCCGGTTGACACTTCCTCCCCGAACGGCTGAACAAAGCTCCGGTTGACACTTCCTCCCCGAACGGCTGAACAAAGCTCCGGGCGACACAGGGCGACAAAAGCCTCACAAGAAAGGTCATGGCGGCGCTCCGGGCGGCGTCGAAACAAAGAGTTTTCCCTCTCGGTGGGGTCGAGGCAAGACTCCACCAACAAAAAGGAAGTAACTTTTCTTGCAGTCCGCTTGCACCAGCGCGCAGGGGAGCGACGACGGCGAGGCTGCAGATCTCAGCTCTTTCCGTCATATTAAAGTGACGCTCCAGGTAACTAGGAGATGCGAGGGGGGAGGAGATCTCGCCTTCGCTTGCAACACTTAGTTCCAACAGCACATATGATCAGCGTCTTTTCTCTTTTCAGATCGCCGTATGCACCAGGCAATGCAGGTCAAAGAAATATCTATCTTTCGTCGTCCTTCTCATGTCTTCACCCCTCCTCCCCCCGCTGCACAGGGCTCCGAGGCGCCCCCGCGCAAGGCATCACTCACTCACCGCAACACCAGGCACCTTCGGCCCTCCCTTGTCCCCAAACAGAGCAACACTCCCCTCACTCAAGGTCCTCCCCGCACAGCCGGCTGCGCCTGCACTTCCCCGCAACACCGACCGCCGCAGTGTTCCCGACACCCGACGGCGCAAGCAACGTTTCCGAGAGCACGACAGGCCAAGCGGCGCTGTCTCCCCGTCGTGCCAGGTGGGCCCGACACTCCATGCAGCACGTAGCACTCGCTTTTGCACGGACGCTGCCAAAAATAGCGCGGCCTCGGGAAATTCGGTGTCGTACAGTGAGGCGGAGGTCCGTCCGTTAAAGCCGAAATATGATTTAGCGGGCGAGCCTGAAAGGGCAGGGGGTCGCGTTCCTGCCAGGTGAACCGGCGAGCGAGCGAGCGAGCTGAGCTGGGCGGGCGGGCGGCGGGCGGCCATGGTGCTGCGGCTGCTATTCCTTCTTGGCTCTTCTTCTCCCACTTCTTGCTCATCTTTTCTGTTCTTGCGTCCTTTCCCCTCCTCCTCACTTTCTCTTGATCTCAGCCAACTCCACTCTAGCCAGATCCCGCACTCTTTGTCGTGTTTTCCCTCTCCTTTGTTCTCTCCTTCTCTCTTTTATCCTCCTCTCATGCTGGGCTCCAATTCCCTCTTTATCACATATTTTTGCCATTACCTCTTTATTATATTCCTTTGCCTTCTCCTCTTTACCCTTTTCTTTTCCTTCCCATTTATTGACTTTTTCTCATTCATCATCAAATAACTACTATTCCAATCGTAATTATTGTTGTTTCCACCATTATCATCATCATCATCACTACTACTACTGATATTTCTATTATTGCTCCTACTACAGATAATAAGCAACAACAAAACAATATCAATGATAATATCTGAAGTACAACTGGTACAAATATTCATAATCGTTATTTCTACCATAATCAACATTATAATCAGTATAAACATGTCTGTCCCTCTCACGATTAACATTACTACTTATTGCCATTATCAACACTGACATGATAATGACAACAAATATAATGACGTTATGGGAAAGATAATAATAATAACTATGATGAAATGATAATATTAGCAACGACCATCGCAATACCGAGGGAAAAAACAACAGAAACTACAATGACATTAATATTATAATTATTACCCTAATTTTTAGTTTATTAATAATCCTAGTTTTATTATCAACAATTATCATTAGTATTACTACTAATATCATTTTCGCTAGCATAACTATTAACATCAACATCACTATAATTACTATTATCAATCATCATTGCCATGAACATTATCGTCATTGTTAATAAGAACATTATTATCACAAGTATTATCATTGGTAACTATTGTCCTTGTTGCTAATGACACCATCAATAATCATATTATCTATTATCATAATCATTATAATTGTTCTTCCAAATATCTTTATAATTATCATTTCTATTATTTTCATCGCTTTGAATGTCCCTGCCTTATTCTTAGATCCATTCATTTTCCCCACTTTTAAGTTTCTCCCTTTCTTCGAAGCAAAATACTTCTTTCTCTCTGTACCATAACTGCAGATAATCTTTCAATCTTTCAATCTCTCTCTCTCTCTCTCTCTCTCTCTCTCTCTCTCTCGCTCTCGCTCTCGCTCTCGCTCTCGCTCTCGCTCTCGCTCTCGCTCTCGCTCTCGCTCTCTCTCGCTCCCTCTCTCTCTTTCGCTCCCTCTCTCTCTCTCTTTCGCTCCCTCTCTCTCGCTCCTTCTCTCTCTCACTATTTCTCTCTCTCACTATTTCTCTCTCTCTCTCCTTTTCTCTCTCTCTCTCCCTCTCTCTCTCTCTCTCTGATTCTCTCTCTCTCTCCTTCTCTCTCTCTCTCCTTCTCTCTCTCTCTCGCTCGTTCCCCCTCCCCCTTTCTCTCGCTCTCTCTCGCTTTATTCCCCCCTCTATCTCGCTCGCTCCCCCCTCATCTCTCTCTCGCTTGTCCCCCCCCCTCTCCCTCGCTCGCTCACTCTCTACCCCTCTCTCTCGCTCGCTCGCTCTCCCTCTTTCTCTCTCGCTCGCTCTTGCTCTCTTTCTAGTTCTCGCTCTCTCGCTCGCTTGCTCTCGCTCTCGCTCTAGCTCACGCTCTCTCTATCTCTCAATTTCTCAGTAATATGTAAACAACTCTGATATTATCCTTACAATTGCCATTTCCATCCTTCCTCTTGACTAATTCTTAAAAATTGATCTCAACATAATCATTACTTCTACTACAATTACTACTACGCCTTTCCTTATTTTTTTTTCTCATTTTTTTCTTTGTACACTCAAAAAAAAAAAAAAAAAAAAAAAAAAAAAAAAAAAAAAAAAAAAAAAAAAAAAAAAAAAACGCTTTACGAACTTCAAACGTTTTTCGACCTAAGTCTCCCGGGGGTTCTGAACCCTTGGATGCAAAGAGAACCCGGCAGACACGGTAGATCAACCCCTCGATTTCTTTGTTGATAGGAAGGAAACTACGACTTCTATACAGTGCATAGAGCTGAACCTTAGACATCATCACATAACACACACACACACACACACACACACACACACACACACACACACACACAAACACACACACACGCATATACACATAACACAAACACACACGCACATACAAATAACACACATAC